CGTTTCATCAAACCCGACGCTTTTATTAACACGATGATTTTTTTTCACGATTGAGGACCAAAGGGGTGCAAGGCTGCAGTGAAGGTTAAGAACCGCTGGTGTAGGCTATACGGGGGGGGGGGGGGGATTTTCACTTTTTTTGTACTCTACCGAGGGTGATGTTGGCAAGGTTTGGTCAAGTAGCCATCACCACCCACGCGTGCGTGGGGAGGGCCGCTAATTCGGCAGTGGACTCGCACGTTTAACCTTTAGACCAATGCAATACTTGTTTTCCGTATCAGATTTATACGCGTTGTTGAATGCTACACGTTTAGCGTATCACTGTTGTTTATATACCAACATTTTATATATATGCTGTAGATATACTTACGAAGCAAACACCGCCCACGACTGTACTCCCAAAACCGGGCAGGACCCTCCTGAAAAGGAGTCATGAGACTCGGGAAGGCTTTTCTAGGTAAAAAATATATATGACAAAACGTAATAATATGCCAACAAATCCACATTTGTCACCAAAGCTCAACGCATTCGTCAATACAACTGTGGCCTTAAAAGTGTATAATGGGTGACGTTTCGGGCAATGGCCCTCCTTCGCAGCGCCGAGATGCCAGATCGGTAAAAAAAAACCTGCCTGACATTTGACAAGCTTCTGCCGGATCATATTTTTAAAACCTCAACTCTGAACTCGTGACAAATCACGTCTACGTTCCTCGGCGTTTGACGATTCTCCCGTAAAGTCTCTTATCTGATCGTGCGAGTCCCATACCTGTGCAGTGAGCAAGACTCTCACGCCCTGCCAATGTGCAAAAAAAGTGTCAAAGTTCACCTCCGATGTGCACGCCCTGCGCTCAGCAATTCAGTAGTGACCGTCTGGCCAGACCCTGGCTCCGAATAACCCTGGCTGGTGCTCCTTGGTTCAGAGTAGACATTCCTACACGATAGGTCACTTCGTGGGGCTATCATTTGTGGCCAGGTCGCTTCTGCAAAAGAGCTAGAGCTCGATGGGCCATGCCTGGTCAAATAAAAAAAAGTTTCGTGTTAGGAGGGCGGCTCTTTCAAAAATAGTTGTTACTAACCACACCACTCACTGCCCGGTTTCCCCACAGATTCTACCACGCGTTGAGGGGCCTAAAGAGCGTGGAGGGGGTGAGAAGAAGCCGCGTGGGCAGGGCCACAAGAGCAAGAACCCCGCGGCCTCGTCAGAGAAGAAAGCCAAGACCGAGGGGAAGAGACAGGAGGAGAGCAAAAAGCGGGCTTGATGCACATACACAGCTTCAACGTGGACACAGCTTCAACGTGTACACAACAAAGTGGCTTATCACGAATTCGAAGGGGGGGGGGGGGGGGGGGGGGGGGGCGGATGAGGTGAGATTCAGTAAGAGAACAAGTGATAGTGATCCGAAATGTGCAACTCCAAAACCCCCTTGTGTGCTGCAGGATGGCGAGGAAAACTGCAGTGCAGCAAGTAGGAGGTCCGTGATCTCATCGCACGCGTGGCCCTGGTGGATTGTCTCTGAATGCTCCGGTTTACTCCCCACAAAGACAAAGATCCCCCCCTATAACCTTAACAGACTGTTGGCCGGCACGGCACACAAGAAAATGGGTGGCCAGCACCACGCCCGGCCGCCTTTGTCTCCCTGGTGGCGATGTTGACACACCACACCAGGTACTCATTTGAGGCTGAGTCTATCTAGGGGAGGCCCAGGACCGCTTAAAATAATCGTCACTTGTGTTGGCCATGAGCGGGAATCCAACTCGGGTCGCCGGGTTCAAAGCTCACCGCTACGCTACCGCTCCCCACACATGCCGGCAAAACACTCCCGTCCACTAACAGCTGCGACGTGGGTTCAACATTGCAGTACAAGTGGGTCTCATTTTTGACCGGGGTTTTTTTTTCCCCCTACTCTCTGTATCTTGTATTTAGTTGTTCTTTTTTGCGTCGTCCACACACACAAACACACACTGCGCCAAAGAGGTTCTAACGAACGCGTCTTTGGAGCCACGATTATGATTCTTCATCCATGTTTGGATTCGGCCACGGTATGCGCTGACATGACCAAATCGGTGTTATTCAGAACACCGCACCAGTGGATGGAATTTGGTTGCGCGGACAATTATTGACACGTTGCAAGACGGCCTGTACACCACGTGGCAAGTCATTTGTTTAAGTCGGGTGGTGGAGGGTTTTTAATGACACAGATTTGGCCACGTCATTTACAGGCCTAAGCCAAAGATCATCCATAAATTAATCAGATTCCACAAAAGACAAATCAACATCAGATACCATGATGCCTGGCTTGTATTGACGATTAAAAAATATACACCTGCGGTAGAAACATTGATGGAGTCATTCAAATCTCTCACGAAAGCCTTATTTTTTCAATCAAATATAGAAGTTAAACTTGTAGTTTGAACAGCTGCACCGATATCGCATAAACAAAATACAAATCAAAAGAGGCAGCATGGTTGGCTACGTGCAGTGCAAAGTAAGTTCAACATACATACGAAAATAAATAAAAACTGATATTGGAGAATTAAATGCAAAACCACGACTTGAGATATTAACCATCTTACATTTGCCAATGACATCATCGTCATTGTATAAACGAATGGCAATGAATAGCAGGGAATTATTGAAACGCTGAACAATGAAGGCTGCAAAGTCTCGTCTAAAGATCAATGCGGGTGAAAGGTTCATACTCATTATTAAACTATGTATGATGAACTTTTGTCGTACTCTAAGTAGCCAACCGTGATAATTATCAGAGTTGCGGGGGAAGCACAAAAAAACTTAACACAAAAAGCAGTTCGATAAAAAAGTTTTTCATCTAGATTTAAAAGTGCATAGCTCCAATGGCTTCCTAATATCGGAAGGAAGAGCGTTCCAGATGGCCGTGGACACGTGAAGGAGACAATACTTATATATTTTGTTGCACATTATTAGGATCTGCACGTTACACTGAGTGCATTGGCTGGGCAGTTAACACTGCATTTGACTGTTGAGCAGGGAAAGTTCCAAATGATGTTATTTTATCACTTCGTTCATAGCAAACTGCATCTCACAATGCCGGTCTTAATTAAATCGCCGACAAGCAGGGAAGGCAGCCAGAAACCGATGCCAGCACTTTACGCAAGCTTTGTGGTCCTATATTTTTTGGGATGTTTCACCAATGTAAGTCTAAATTAAAACGAAAAAGAAATGGTCATAATCTATCTCTACATATGGACAATTACACGGAAATAAACAAATGTGGAGCTGTGGTTTTTCACACCTGATGATGATTGCTTGTGTTGCAGTCGAAACGTCGTGATAATTTTATTGTTTTATATTTGTATTATGTTATTGTTTCCCTTCTACGTGACTTTACCGAAAGAACCAAGAATATAAATGTGGAGCTTTTAAAATATATGTTGGTGGCATTAATTTTTTTATTTCTCTTCATGGGTTAAAAAATACAATTCTGCACTCAACACAATGTTAAATTCAACACAAATACAAAATATGAAACAAGCCAGCAACAGCGAAATGACCTTTTCCAATCAGTACGTGGACTTAAAAACGTTCTCTGGAATGTTGCTACGGAAATCACAAATAAACAAAAAAAATCACGAGCCAGAACCGCGTTAAGTATTAACCGCATATCACGATATAAAACTCAACAGTTATAAGAATTGCGAAAGCTCGCCAGCTTGTACTGAGACACATTTGACTTTTTTTCCAACGATCGTTTTAAATATCACTCTGCGCTGCTGTTCGCGGTTTTGCCGTAGAGCTCGCCACCGAGACGGAGTGAAGGCGGAACGTCGGGCATCACGCGGAGCCGCACGCGATACAGCCCGAAAAACGCATCGGAGAGCCCTTTTGTCGCAATAATAATACAAGTTCAACTTGGAACGTGCTGCACAATGCTCGCTCACTCCCTCGACGACGGAGAACGACTCGGGGAGGCGCGAGGCACCGCAGACAACGCGGCAAGGCAGTGGCCACGCGACGAGCCGGCGCCAACAATCGCCCGAGCTCTCTGCGGTCGCTCTGTATATCCAAAGGTGTTATTGGCCAGTCAACGAGTGTTTACGTGTGGGAAGAAACCGGAGCGCCCGGAGATGGGGGCAACACTCCATGCCACACAGAGGAGACGGGTGGAGCCCACATTTTTTGCTGTGCTGCCTTTCTCCCGGCGAGCCAGGGTACGGGCGCCTGCGTCGTCCACGGGAAGCGACTTCCGCGACATCTGCGTGTGAGCCACCAACCCTCGCTGCCGCCTCCTCCAGTGCTGGATTACAGGCAGCCATGTGCATGGCCCACCACAGGCCTCTTAAATGCGGTTCATTGTGGAAAAGTTTATAAACCGTACAAAGCCTCCTGCTAGCTGCGAGCATATGAATCGATTGGCGGTAGCCCGGGTCACCGCAAAATATTGGTGGGCCGGGCATAGTTTAAGGTTTTTTTTCTGGGAGCATCGCTGGTACTACCACCCTGTCCTGCCGGAGGGCGACGCTGGGAGCGATGATGACGACGATGTCTATCCTGCCACAACGACCATGACCGCCGGCCGTACCAAGAGAGCGCCTGGTGCGCCATTGCCTCCAAGTGGTCTCGCTCCCAAAGACAAGGAGGGTGGCCGCCCCCGTAAGAAGCAGAACGTGCTGGGGAATGACCAGACCAGCATCCCGATGTACTTTCAAAACAAGCGATAAACAGCCGTTGCCACGCACAAATCCCCAGCAGCGCCCCTTTTTTATGGGTGTTTTTGCGTGAGTTTTTTATTTCCATATTTGGCGTGCGTATCGGGCTCAGTGACATCTCCCGTCTTCATAGGCAGGGGCGGAGCCAGGATTTCAGGCCGGGGTGACATTCAACAAATTTTAATTTCAAGAATGATTTAGAGAGTCAGGCTGTTGAACTAGACGCCATCGGTTGGCGACACACTCTGACAATGCAGTTGTACGGAGTCCGCCAGACCGAGTGTTGTACACTTACACGCAGAATGTCACCCCTGTCACCCCCCCTGGCTCCGCCCCTGTTCATAGGCCTTCTGGTTTCGGAGTTATGGAGGTTTTGGCACCCCCAGGTCACGATGGTGACCCGGGTCACCGCCAATCGATTCATATCTTAATGGGAATATATATATGCACATCGGAAACATAATGCCGACGTTAACAAAAGCAATTTAAAACAGTTTGGAGCAAAACAATAATTTAACAAGACCGCCCACGTACAACCCCATGTCAACCCACTGCTGGATGAAGGCCGGCCCTCCTCCCCCCACTGTGCCAGGCCGTGGGAGATATCTGACCGTACTTCACCATGCCGGTCAGCGCGAGTCGCTGGAAGGCCAGGGAGCGTAGTGCGACTCAACAACGCACATCGCTGCACGGCACCGGTGCGGCTCGGTTTGCACGCAGATCACCACCCGACTCCCGACTGCACTTCCCGGACGGGGCGAGGTCACGGAGAAGAGAAGGTGCTGCCTGACACCCCCGTGAATTTAGAGGCAAAAGCAGAGGGTGGGGTGGACGGTGGTGGCGGCGGCGGCGACGGAGGTGGGGGGGTTCTTCGGGGACGTCACTGGCTCTTGCGCTGGCCCGCGGGCGCCTCCTGGGTGGGAGCGGAGGACCACACCTGCAGCAGCTGCTTGCAGTAGTAGAGCTGCCAGGCGTGCACCTGCACGGCGATCACCATCGCGAAGTACAGCACCGACACGGCCGAGAAGCCGAGGATGTGGCGGTACACCTTTCCCTGCGCACGCACGCAAGCAAAAACGCACGCGCAAGCGGTGCTCGTTTCGCGAACGAAATTCACAGGGAGTGGCCGACGCAGAGAGGTGGACACACAAGTCTTCGGCGGGGGCTGCGGATTTGCACAGATTGCACGGTCGCAGTTCCATCCGCAACAGGAATTCCTGGCGGCACTGCCAGGAATTTCCACGAGGTGGCGGTTGTACGCCACTCAATGTCAGCTTACCATTTTAAACCCAGGCAGTGTGTCCTGCCGCACTGTCTGGCACGCGTTCGAAACCTTACTATCGAATGCATGTATATTAGCACGGTCGGCTACCGTACGTACCCAACTGTGCTAATAGGCGGTGCGGTGGAAGAACAACAAACTATTGACCAAAACAAAAGACTTTTAAACAAAAGACTTTTAAAGTGACGGGGTTGAATGCACCTCCATCAGCGCTCGAGTGGCAGCTCGACGAGAGATTCAACAGGGATTCATTTGAAACGGAAAAAAGATCCACGGAAGCCGGAGCAGGTCCCGGCACTTGGGCCTGTGCTCTGCATCTGTGTTTATTGGAAAATAGGATAAAATCATGCAAACAAATCCGGAGGGGTTGGACGCACCTGCTGACCTACAGGGCACCCAATGGGTTAGACCCCGCAGTATTTACAGCATCTGATCCATCTTTATAGACCAAGGACGTCTCTTAGATCTTCGGGTCGCCTTCTACTCAGTACTCCGAGGTCAAGGCTCTGTTCCGGCAGGGGCTGATTGGCCTTTTTGCCAGTGCACCTCCCAAGCTCTGGAACAACGCTCTGCCTTTTGCTACAAAGACAATCCGAGTCGTTAGATATATTTCAATCCGTCTCGAAAACTCACCTCTTTGAATTCGCCTTCGCACCCCCACCCACCCACGCTAGTTCTGGCTGTGTACTCTGCAGGTTCCGTTTATTTCTTGCTTTCCATACAAGGTGGCGCATTGGAATCTAAGTCATGTGCTACTTTACAAATGAAAATTACACCCCCGCCACCTCCCCTTCCCCCCCCCCCCCCATAAAAATACATGAGTAGGGCAGTGTAGTCATCTTTTCCCGGTCCCTAAACTAAACAATTTAAACCATTTTTTTATTTTACCAGGTAAGGCCCCACTGAGCTATATAGCTCTTTCAGGAGCGACCTGGATATCACAAATGATAGCTCAACAAAGTGGCTTATCACGTGGAAAATTACAGCAACCAAATGCTATAAACACATGTTGATTCTAAATGTGGAGGGAAAAACCAGAGGACCCGGGGAAAATTCCACGTGATCACGGACAGAGAGACATGCAAACTCCAAATATACAGCAGGCGTCAGGGTCGAGATCGAACCCACGACCTCGTGTACACCAGGCGAGGGAGTTAACATCTTGCCAACAAGGCACCCCACACTAGACCTGCTGTCGACAAACGGCTTCGGTTGTGGACGCAGGAGGGATTCGGGGTGGGGATAGAGGAGGTGTCAGGGTCGGGATCAAACCCACGACCTACACCGAGGTCAGCTGGCCCCGGGTTAGTCGCTCGGGAGGTTGCTTGTACTCTCCCTCCCCGTCGTCCACGTTCCGTGCCGGGCACTTCCCCCTGGGTGAACACCCCGGGACCGGCACAGGACACGCTGACGGGACAATGTCGCTCGGCTGGCCTGGGAACGCCTAGGAATTCCCCAGGAAGAGCTAGAGTCTGTGTATAGTATAGTAGTGTGTAGTGTAGTGTATAGTGTAGTGTATAGTGTAGTGTATAGAGTGTAGTGTATAGTAGTGTAGTGCGAGAGTCTGTCGCCAGGGAGAGGGAGGTCTGGACCGCCCTACTCAACACGCTGCCGCCGCAACCCTCGCCAGGACAAGCGGACTGTGAAACGAACGATTAATAATTTAAACAATTTTAATTATCGTCATTACCTGCGTGTAGAGCTGCCTGGCCATGGGGAACATCTCGACGCTACCGTAGACCAGCGGGCCCAGCGACACGAGCGACGTCATCGCCATGGCAAGGACCATGTGGTACGTGCTCCTCCTGGTCGGGTCACGGGAGGTCGCAAGGTCACGGGGAGGGGTAACGAGGGTCGTGTCAACAACAATGCGGTTACAGCATGTACACCACGCACGCGCTTAGCGACAGGGATGTGTTGTTGGAAATGCTCGAAACTTTAATAAAATGGTTTTACAAGATGTGTGGCAAATTATTCACTAATTGCGTAAATCTGTCAATGTGCGTGTTGTGCGACAGATCACGCACCACGTGGCCAACGTGGATTTCCGTGGGCTCCTAGAAACTGTGATGTTAATGTTAGGTTTTGCACGTGTAATGTTTAGGGCGGGGAAATCTATGATTACAGCTGTTCCCGTGGAATTCTTTACGTATCGCTACGGTAATTATAACATCACGCATTTATCCAGGAAATTCCTCGCTGAGTCCAAAATACTCCTTTTTCCTGTATGCAGGATGTTCAACTTCTTTCACACTGTACGTAGGCAACCATCGGAGATGGGGGAATGTTTCAACAGGTCCACGACAATCGTAATCATCTGTTTGGAAAACAAATATACACATCGTTCATTTTTTTTTTGCATTTGGTAAACGGCAGCATCTGCAGTGCACGCATTACAGGTTGTAAAGTTGCGACGATTAAAAGACGCATGGCCTACGGCCGATGTTGATCGAACTGCAGTTGAAGTTGAAGAACCTTCTTACGCTTTGTGCGTACTCGGAGAATGCAAGGGCTGCTGGCCACAGGACGGTGAACCCCGGGGGGGGGGCATGGTCAACAAGTCATCCCGACCAATACCATCGATGCCACCGCCATCGCTTTCCCCTTTCTGCGAGATTTTACCACTGCCGTTGCAGTCGACATCCGATGATGGGTGGGGCGGTGACAACGGCCGAGCTGTCGCTAGCCGCTTGCCGCGGAGCGAATGCCGCGGCGAGTATTCACCGTTACTCCCGCACGTCGCTTGCATCGCAGGGGACGTTAACGATCCTGCTGCGGCGAATTGAAAAAGACTGAAAAGCTCATTTCTTTTAGCACTGCCTTGCGTGTTTAGTTTGTTGTCCTTCAACCTCCCCGCGCCTCCGATTAGCACGGTTGGCTACGGACGGTGCGAAAGAGGTTCAACATACGTACGGACAAAGAGTAGGCCGCACGTGCGCGTCCGACGCCGCGGTCTGGCAAACTTTGGCAAGTGAGCGGGAAGAAAAATGTACCCGTGATAAAATTGCAGTCCTCAAAACGACCCTACTTCCGTTCCTCCCGGCTCCTCACCTGCGCATGGCGCCAATCGTGAGCAGCGCGGGAGCCACGCTCAGCAGGTAAGGGTACTCCCAGAGGTAGGGCCGTGCCACCAGGCTACTGGGCACGAGGCGCAGGCTGCTCACGATGACCTGCAGCAGAACGAGCGCCCACAGGGCCACGTGCACGTACACGAGCATGCGCACCTCGGACTCCAGCGACGAGCTGGGGGGGGAAGAACACGCACGCACGCACGTGTAAGAACAGACGCACACGCGCGGAACTTGAGCATTGCTCACTGTGACCATATTGTAATATTCGACACGTAGGCTTTCGCGAGCAATATCAACCATAATAAAGAGGTTTTTTTTGGGTTGGATTGCGTAAATATATAAATGTGTCTTCTTAGCTCTTTCGGTAAAGTCACGTTGAAGGGAAACAATAAAATAATATATATAAAACAATAAAAATTCTCACGACGTTTCGACCATAACACAAACGGTCGTCATCAGGTGTGTCGGTTTAAGGCTAATGGTTACTCCGACTATACAATCCGCAAAGCTATCACTCAAACCATGAAGAAGGACCCTCTTGAGGAGCCTTTCAAAACCATCACTTTACCCTACATTGCGGGGATCACAAAAAAGATCTCCAAAATCTTGAATAAACACAAGATCCAGCTCCGTTTCAACACATTACATAAAATCCGTGATCTGGTTCCGTCTGTAAAAGATGTGATTCCGGACATACAGTACCCTGGTGTCTACAAACTAAGTTGCCTCTGTGGTAGTAGTTACATTGGAGAAACCAAACGCCATGTCTCGGACCGCATTCGTGAACACAAAGCAGACCTTAAACACGGTAGGACCAACACCTCGGCCGTGGCAGATCATTGTTATAATTCAGTAGGCTCACATAACATTGACTTTTCCAAGACAGAGGTTCTTTTTAAGCCATCTGACTACCATGAGAGATTCGTTCATGAGGCTATCCACATATACAATCACAGAGACAATTTCAACCGAGAAGATGGATTATGGCTTAGCAATCATTGGAAAGATTTGATAAACCATTTCAGGTCTTAATTGATTGTTCACGCTTACAGTGGCTTTCAGACAGCATACATCAATTTTTCGTTCTCCCCCCTCCTCTTTTCAGAACATAGATGGGCTCGTCCTTCTAAATAAACTGACAAATCGCTGCGCGTGCCGCTGACGTTTTTTTTTAATAAATACACCGTTTAAAAATAAATAAATTAATGCGAACCGACACACCTGATGATGACCTTTGTGTTATGGTCGAAACGTCGTGAGAATTTTTATTGTTTTATATATATTTTATTATTTTATTGTTTCCCTTCAACGTGACTTTACCGAAAGAGCTAAGAATATGAATTACTGCAGTCACGAAAGCTTTAAATCAAAATATAAATGTGTCGTTAAAACCCGCAACCACCCGACACAACCGAATAGTAAGGGTTGTCACGTGCGGAACAACGCGGTACAACCCGAAAGCACACGTGCATAGTATTTATGTATGTGTAAACACACATGAGAAAGCACTCTTCATGCATGCCACTAAGTGGCGGTGACGTCAGCACAGCGCATGTGTCAGGCTAGGCGCACTTTCAGGACACGTGAAGTGTGGAAGGATCGCTGGCAGCAGGTCACGAGACAGACCCAGGTGCCATGGGTTGACTGAGATGACTGGTCGACGCGCCACCTGTGCTCCCCACTGTGCCAACCTGCTGCACTTGTTCACAACACAACATTGTTACGGGGCTGGCAACCTCTACGGAGGTGGGGGTTATTTTGCCAGTCACGCAGAAGAACACACACACACGCACAACAACAGCCACTCACCACTAAGTGATGGCGACTTTACCACAGCCCTCGTGCCAGGAAAGGTGGACTTTCCCCGGTTTGAACCTGGTAAACTCAGGGTGGGTGGCCAGATTGAGCCAGACGGGGTATACAATGTTCCACAGCCACAGGTGTGTTCAATGCTAATGCACTAATAGAAAGTAAGAAGATCACAGCTTCACCATTGGAGTATCACTCTGGAAGTAAGCTAGGAGCGCCACGGTGGCGAGATGTTAACTACCTCACCTGGTGTACAGGAGATCGTGGGTTCGATCACGACCCTGATGCCTGCTGTATATTCGGAGTTTGCATGTCTCTCTCCCCGTGGTCGCGTGGATTTTTGTCCGGGCCCTCCGTTTTTTTCCCCTCCACATTAAGAAACACGCGTTTTAGAGTATTTGGCTGCTATAAATGTCCACGTGATAGTAAGCCACTTCGTTGAGCTGTCATTTGTGATAGCCAGGTCGCATCTGAAAAACAGCTACATAGCTCAGCGGGCCTTGCCTGGTAAAACAAAGAAAAATTGTTTAGTTTAGTAGCTCGGTTGGTTCAGAGATCGCGCCACAATACTGAAGTGCTTTGCACCAAGGAAAACAAACGCTTGCATGGTTATAATTCTCTGTTAATTACCTCCAAACCACATGGAACTCCATCACTTCACGAGTGTCCTCTCCCATCCCTTTGACAATTGGATAACAAGCTGTCGATTCCCTACGATAACTTAACTTGCAATTTGCATACCCGTGTCGGATTACATATTAGTCTGCCTATATCTGGTCTGCTCCAGCCGACCGACGCCGGCTCTGTGCAACATTTTTGCAATTTCTCACGCGGTGCAGAGCTTTTTTGCTGTTCCAATTTCTACTTGCGTCTTTGATGCGCTTCGATTTTATTTTTTTTGCATTTGCTTTTGTCAATTTGTAACGCTGCTCATCCTGGTCTCTTGACATTTTCACCCGGTTAATCAAAGTGAAAGTCTCAACGAACAGCGACACTCACCCTGCAAAGCTGTGATCCTCTACTCTCTATCAGTGCGATGAGCATGAACCACACGGGTTGCTTATTCGATTGTCGAACCCATAGCCCTGCCTGGCTCAATCCGCCCAAGGGCCACACGATCCGCACCCAGCCACCAAACCTGGTATTGCCAGGTTCACACCAGCATAGCAGCGGATCCGACTTGCCCTGTAAGTGCCGCCCCAACTCCTGACATGCGCCGATAGTTACTACGCGATTGCGGCATCTGTGACTGCAGTGCACACTGCGTACTGTAGCGCAGTTCTATACATCCCAATGATGTTCTGCAAGGGGCTAGAAAGACGTGAACTATGTCAGTGGTAATGCATGCTCTCGAAGGGCTAGAGCAGCGACAGCCAATCCAACAAATACCGTGAGATCCATAGCAGCCAAATACAGCACACGAAACGTATTTTGACGCGCGGGCTTCCGTGACCAATATTACGAAAGAATAAAGGTTTCTTTGGATTAGATCGCGGAAGTATGTGTAGTTAACCCACCACCACCCGACACAGCCAACCAGTAAGGTTTGTCACGTAGACAAAACGTGACCCCCTGTGCGTTAGAGTCAAACCACAGCATTTACAATTTAAGCACCGTGCCGTTTCTCTGGCAATTACAGCCCAGCATCATCGGGCGATTTTGCCAGGATTGTGAAGAGATCCACCTGGTCTTAAGTAGAACAAGATCACTGTGGTTATGCATTCACGATAAGCACAGTTGCGGATAATAGGGAATAATAACTATCATACGGCGAGCTATGCAAAAAGGCCGGGTTCTGCCTAGAGCAGGAGTGGGGAAAGTCCGGCCCACGGGCCGTATGAGGCCCGCGAAATCATTTGGGTCTCTGGCCCTGCTAAGGCAACCGCAGGCGGGACTCGAAATTCAACAAATCTAGGAGCAAACCTGGAAAAGCAGTTGCGAGTAGCAACATCATCAATACCAGCTAACAACATCACACGCCTCGCCAAAGAGAAGCAGTTCCAGACATCGCATTAGGGGCGAGTTAATGAAACGTTTGACCAAATATAACGGGCTAATTTTTAAGTTGATAATTTTGCATGGCCCGCGAATGATGTTATATAAATATCCAAATGGCCCTTGGCAGAAAAAAAGGGTTCCCCGCCCCTGGCCTTCAGCATCCATCACTGCAGCGGTGAATAAAGCCAGAGCACCAAGACAAACACCCCCCTTAACAGATTGTTGGGGACAAGTGCTGTTAGCGAGAAGCAGCAACTCTCAAGGTCGGCACTACGGGCACACGAGGGGGTGGGTGGCCAGCACCACGGCCTACCGCCTTTGTCTCCCCAGTGGCGATGTTGACACAAACGCACCACGGTACTCATACGAGGCTGCGCTACGAAACCCGGCGATCCGGGTTCGATCCCCGCTCACGGCCAACACCGGTGACGATTTCCTGAACCGGTCCTGGGCTTCCCGCAGGTCGACTGAGCCTCAAGTGAGTACCTGGTGCGGTGTGTAAACATCACCGCTGGAGAGACAAAGGCGGCCTGCCGTGGTGCTGGCCACCCACCTCCTCGTGTGCCGTGCAGGTCTTCATATGTGCTGCTCGCAAACAGCTCTTGCCTCAACAGTCTGTTAAGGCTACACGGGGGACCTTCGTCTTTGTGACCAGGGCTTGATGTCTCACTGAATAGTTACCGGGCCGCTGGTAAACTCGTAGTAGTAGTAGACAGGTGACTAGTAACCATAGCAACAGGTGACTAGTAACTGTAGCAACAGGGACAGGTGACTAGTAGCCGTAGCAACAGGTGACTAGTAACCATAGCAACAGGTGACTAGTAACCGTAGCAACAGATGACTAGTAGCCGTAGCAACAGGTGACTAGTAACCGTAGCAACAGGTGCCTAGTAACCGTAGCAACAGGTGACTAGTAACCGTAGCAACAGGGACAGGTGACTAGTAGCCGTAGCAACAGGTGACTAGTAACCGTAGCAACAGGGACAGGTGACTAGTAGCCGTAGCAACAGGTGACTAGTAACCGTAGCAACAGGGACAGGTGACTAGTAGCCGTAGCAACAGGTGACTAGTAACCGTAGCAACAGGGACAGGTGACTAGTAGCCGTAGCTACAGGTGACTGGTAACCATAGCAACAGGGATAGGTGACTAGTAGCCGTAGCAACAGGGACAGGTGACTAGTAGCCGTAGCAACAGGTGTCTAGCAACCGTAGCAACAGGTGACTAGTAACCGTAGCAACAGGGACAGGTGACTAGTAGCCGTAGCAACAGGTGACTAGTAACCATAGCAACAGGGACAGGTGACTAGTAGCCGTAGCAACAGGTGACTAGTAACCGTAGCAACAGGGACAGGTGATTAGTAGCCGTAGCAACAGGTAACTAGTAACCGTAGCAACAGGGACAGGTGACTAGTAGCCTTAGCAACAGGGACAGGTGACTAGTAGCCGTAGCTACAGGTGACTAGTAACCATAGCAACAGGGACAGGTGACTAGTAACCGTAGCAACAGGTGACTAGTAGCCGTAGCAACAGGTGACTAGTAACCGTAGCAACAGGGACAAGTGACTAGTAGCCGTAGCAACAGGTGACTAGTAACCATAGCAACAGGGACAGGTGACTAGTAACCGCAGCAACAGGTGACTAGTAATCGTAGCAACAGGTGACTAGTAACCGTAGCAACGGGTACAGTGGATGTGGTGTGCCGGATGTGGATCAGACTCAGTTGAATGAGCTATGTGTGTGTGAGCCAAAGTAAAAATGCCCGCGTGTGGCTAAATGATGACTCTTACATAATAATGTACTGTATGTTACGTTTAATGTTACAGTATGCGCATGGCATAGCCAGGAATTTGGCACAAGAAATGCACTTGCACAGATATAGTATAAGCTAAAGCCAACACAGATACAAACACAGAGACACACAGAGATAACACAGACAGGCGCATTGCATTAAGCGATATACACACACACAACACATACATACTGTACGGTTATAAAGCCAAAGATCCCCCCTATAAACCTGAACAGACTGTTGGGGCAAGTGCTCTTAGCGAGCACTGATGAAGGCCGGAACGGCACACGAGGGGGTGGTGTGGTCAGTACCACGCCAGGCCGCCTTTGTCTCCCCAGTTACTAATTTCAGGTTGAGTCGACCTGGGGGGAGGACTAAGTTTAGATATTCGTCATTGTTAGCCTTGGTCACGAATCGAACTCAGGAAGAAATGTGTGCAGTGCGCTAATCACTGCGCCACCGCTCCCTACACACACACAATGAAACACACTGTACTATAGACGAATGTGTATTCGATAACTATTGGGACGAGTGCTGCTAGCGAGCACCCATTAAGCAGATAAACACGCGCGAGAGAGAGAGACACGCACAATGATACACACCGCAATTTATCTTCCCCGTCCGCCTTTGTCTCTCTCCGCGCTCTCTCGTTCTTGTTCGCCGCTGTCCGCGTAGCTGCAGACGCCATGTCGACGTCGGCAAGACAGAGACGGAGACAAAGACTCAAGAAAGCAATGACAGAGTTCAGGGGGTCAGACGGAACCGAACCGAACCGAAATCCGAGCCGGACCAAACTGGGTCGGGTCGCATCCCCAGCCACCCCCAACCAACCAACCACGTGGGAAGGCGGAACACTGCTTGGATCGATTCTTAGATTCCATTGTTCGTGTATTCGATTCCTAGCCGAGCCTAACGACGAGAGTGCGTAGAGAATCGAATGGATAGTGGTTTATACCGAATAATCGATTATCACGATTCATCCGTATTATCTGTAGAGTTTTACAGAATGATAATAGGTTTTTCTCCTTTTTGCAAGGTTTCAGTTTGGTGTTTAAACAACTTCACATCTGTGTTATTGCCAGAAAGGGGAGATCCCTATTATCATAATTTAGTACCGGCAAAGGAGGTCTCATGAGTATTACAGAATATTATAACCGTGCATGGAAAGTACTGTACAATATAGATACCTTCTTTGGTTCTTTCGGTAAAGTCACGTAGGTATAAAATAAAATAAATTAAATCACGACTTTCCGATTGCAACACAAGCAATCATCATCAGGTGGGAAAACCACAGCAAGAAAATGTTTTGGTTTTCCCACCTGATGATGATTGCTTGTGTTGCAATCGAAACATCGTGATTTAATGTATTTTATTTTTCACTTACGTCACTTTACCGAAAGAACCAAAGAGTTTGGATCCCTGCAGTCACAAAAACTTTAAATCTACAATATAGTTGTGTGTGTGTGTGTTTAGGTTCATCTTTACAAGCAATATCCAGATGATGCACAGCTGTCAACCCCATACGGCTTAACCGTATTCTTGTAAAGGGAAATTGAGTTTTCATGTCCATAAGGGCGTACAGCCGTTTCAATACGGGCAAAAATTTGTTTTAAAAAGTGTATTATTTGTTTGTGTTTCTCCCTTGTGATGAGACTTTGTGGGATGAACGTTGAGATTTATAAGGGCACAGCGGGTTGACCAATAAGGTCTGATTTGATCTGTAATAAGGTAGGGGGCACTGATAAGGAGCTGACAGCTATTGTGATATGACTTAGCAAATGTATTAAGGGACCGTCCATAAATGACGTCACGCGATTTTGGACGATTTTTGACCCCCCCCCCCTTCGTCACATGGCGTCACAAAAAGTCAGATCCCCCCTCAAATATGACGTCACAAAGCTCTGCCCCCACCCCCCCCCAAAATAAAACATGCTTCAAATCGCGTTAAACTATTGTCATTGTAGTGCGTATTTAATGTGGCGCTGCACTCTGATGTTGTAGGAGAAAACCTTTATTAAAAAGTCTATTTAATTAAGTAGAACGTGTTGTCTATATTTATTTAAGGTTGCGCATTTTGATGTGACGTCACATTTCTCACCCCCCCCCCCCTCATCGTCACACATCGTCACAAATGTCTGACCCCCCCCCCCCCCCCTAGGTGCGTGACGTCATTTATGGACGGCCCTAAACAGTGCAAAGTTTGCCACCGAGCCCTTGCCGAAAAATCACCTGCCAGTTTCCCCGGCATTGATTCAAGCAATCCTGACGGCTGATGAGACACTGCATGTCAAAACCCGTCCAGAGATGTGCTTGTACTAACTCAATACTGCCCACGTGATGCACTCCCAAAAAGGTTCGCGTGGCTGATGGAATGTGTAAAAAAACTTGGATGTAAAGGAGACGCATTGTCTGTTTATTTATACTTTATTCTAATTCAGGAGGTAGTCTCTCTAGTTCATAGCATTGTCCTCTAAAAGTTAAACAAAATAGGCGACGTTTCCGGCAATGGCCCTTTTTCATAGCACATGGCCCGAAACATCCACACACTTAAATTTTGATTTAAAGCTTTCGTGACTGCAGTAATTCATATTCTTAGCTCTTTCGGTAAAGTCACGTTATTTTATTGTTTCCCTTCAACGTGACTTTACCGAAAGAGCTAAGAATATATCCACACACTTATTGGCTTATTGTGTCGAGTTTTAGTAACAAATAAAGACCGGCTTTGTATTTACGAAACGCGTTTGTCACCTTCCTTCACCACACGTTTGTCAGTCTGGGGCCACCGTAGCCCATACAACAGCGGAGGGCGCATCGTTCAATGGCGGTGCCGGGAAGCGGCGGCTGAAGCTGGAATGCTACGACCCGGGTGGGTTTCTCCTTTGCTGTCTTCGCTTTCCTCGCGTATTCACTGCGCGACTCCCCTGGGGACCCCTGTCCTCGTCGTCACGTTCCCGCGTCCCCATCTCAATGGCGTGTAACGCAAAAAGGATTCCGAGGCCTAGCCTATTTTACAGAGCCTACGGTGGTGCCTAGTTTCTTTGCCGCCTTTGGGGCTCCAAACGACGGCCGTGCTGAGCGATGTGCATCCTCCGTGCCATGTTAAACCTAAATCTGTCAAATCAAGCAGTGATTGTACACCATTGCGGGTCGGCGACGTCTGGTGATACACGGGCATTTATGTGGACAGAAGTAGTTGAATTCACAGTTCACCCATTGTCCTAAATAATAACAATGTATAGCCAGTCCTTGGTCATTACAATGGTTGTCATTCAACCGCTTGAGGACAAGGCCAGGGAAGATGCGACCACTTAACAAGTGGCACGAGAGGAGCAACAGAAATTGTGACCGTGGCCACCACCAAAGGCGATCGCCCCCATGAACCGAACTACTTGCCCCTGAGAGATCCATTCCCCGGTGGGCATCGCGACCACTCAACACTCCGCCTCACTGGAAGGCCTTGAACGGATCGCTGACATCGACGTTAAATTTCGATTTAAAGCTATCGTGACTGCAGGGATTCATCTTCTTCTTGGTTCTTTCGGTAAAGTCACGTAGAAGGGAAATAATAAAAATAAAACAATAATAATTCTCACGACGTTTCGGCCACAACACAAGTAGCCGTCCTCAGGTGAAGAAACAGAACTGTCGGAAAGACAGTTATGTTTCTTCACGACGTCAAACTTTAACTTCTTCGCCCAGCCATACGAAGATGAATAATTCCAATGGCGTATGAAGCTCTCCTCACGTCCTATCGGTCATGGGGATTATTAGACAGCGGCTTCACGACGCTTGTTATTGTGGTTTGAAGGAGTGGCCCAGGACCGGGTCAAATATCACTTCCCACCCCGATTAGCACGGTTGGCTACTGCATACGGTGCGAAAGAAGTTTAACATACATACGTTATGCGTGACCCACTCTCAAAACTCGGTTTACAGGGTTTATAGCGCAGTGCGCGTGACATTGGCACTGAAGGCTTTATCGGCTGATTGACTTTAAAAAATGCGTACTTGGAATACATAGACTTCGACTGTTGTTGATTGTTCCTGCCATAGAGGTCAGTTAATTCAGGATTCGAGGTCGGTTAATTCAGGATTCGAGTCCAGCTGCAGCCGCTCAAGAAATTCCCATAGGAAGCCTTTAACAGCGCTTCCATTCGCAGCGAGGTGAACGTTAAATGACCGGAGTGGCATTGCTCACGAGACAACATCGCCTGTCCAACTGTTTTGCGCAGTCGACGCGATCCCAAATTCGCACAGCTAGTCGCTGAAATGTTGCCCTATGAGGCGTCTCAACGCTGTCGCACGTCAATGGTCTCGACCTATGACCCGTTGCAACCACTGGGAAGCTCTACATTTACCGCAGTGTAACAACAACAGCAAAGTAATTGAATCGGATCGCAATCCTGGATCGTGACAATTCATTGAAGTTTGATGGTGTCAAATTTTGTTACAGACCTGTGTGGCCAGTTGCGTAAAAAAACACTTAAGTGGGGGACTCTGCTTTAATCGACACTGATTTAATGCAACTGAGCCCCGGGTTACCTTGGCGGTGTCGCGTAAAACACGGCCAGGCACTGCCACGGCGCTCTCGAAACACCTCTGCTTTGACGAATTAAAAATGCTCTAACAGAGTGACATCAATAGGATTCTACAATAACTCACCTAAGCTAACTTGACAGCGTGTCATTTACTCGTGAATCGTGAAATTTGCATCACAGCGTGGCACACTTGGCATCGGTGTGTTCTGTAACCAGTACGGAATTAGCTCCGTTCAATGGTAAATCGATTAAAAACATAAATTGTCTCCCTGTGAAACGTACATTTACAAAGCATGAGTGCATCTTTAAAAAAAGCAATACAGGTTAGCGTCTGCACACATTGAAATACAGTAATATGAAGTTGAAATTATTATTTTTGCTTCCCTATTTCCGCAGTTGGTTGTATCATTATACAGCACTTTGTAACAAGGCACTTGCAAACAACACCTGGCAGAAAGCCAGGTGTGATTGTCCTGGACTCGTATATCCTTGGGCTTGCATATTGTGTTTATATGGTTGTGTCAAATCGAAGACAACGCCTTTGTTATGCTGAGGTGCCTTGGTTTTACTTAATTTTTAAAAATGTCCACCTTATCCGCAAGTTTCCTCTGTTTATCTACTGTACTGTTAGTGAAGAGAGGGTCTGTGTTTATCTCAAGCAAACTTAAAAACCATTTCATTCCATGGTCAGCTTTCCAAAACGTTCAGCTATGCCATAGCTCCCTGATGTGATCTTCACGGTTGTGCCGCATGTCATTTAAAGTCAATTTTATGAAGACATCACTTTCTAGCAACACGCAATACTACCCTAAAACACGTGGGAGAGTTAAAACAGCACGATCACAAACCCCTGTGTCAGCTATGCTTTTCGGTAAAAGGTTATTCCTGATGGACAGCAATTTCCTGTCACTTTTGCCCTGTGAACTTGTCCACTCACTCCTTCTTGTTAAAATAATCCTGTAGAAATGTGGAGAAAATGTATCTTCATGCCAATGGCCCCTTCTCCATCATCATCATCGCCATCATTATGAATGTGCCTGAAAGGGTAACCACCTTGAGGATGGTGATGGCATGGGAAGGCCTTCATCTATCAATGGAAAGACAAATGCTGATGAAAATAACTATGATAATCACAAGAGCCCGTTGAGACTAAACTCTCTTTAGGTTAAATCCGGACTAAGCACAAGCAATAAAGTAAAAAAAACATAATAACAACGTAACAAGTCACGCGTAAATATGCAAAACAAAAAATAAGCATACTTTACATGTTTTAACACAACAGTCGGGCATGATTAGATCCACAAGCAATATAGGCTTTTGAAATATATTTCTGCAGCGCTTTGACACACGTGCAGTCACATCGAGACCAATGCATAGCCTCAATCTACTCGACGGGGTTCGCTCCTGCAAGGCTTCGGTCAAGATCTGGTGGCTGCCAGGACACAACGCGGCAGGGGGCGAGTGGGCTGAGAGACGGCACACGGTGTTGGTTTTCGTCTCATTGCCGCTTCGACGATGCGGAGGCTGTTAAGAAATTGATCCCCAAGTCGTGTTCTGGGCTGCATTCAAAAAATCACCTCCTCCTACGCTTCGCGGAAGCAGACTGGAACAATAACAACACGTGCGTTTATTAATACACCTTTTTTTTTGTTACAGTAACGGCCATGCGCGGTAGTACGAGCTGCTGTGTTTTCCTCGGTTGTCATGGATATTTGACCGCGAGACATTCCGTTCTGAGGCACAGGCGTTTATTTATTTCCAATCCCCGTGTCTGATTTATTGTGGGACACAAGTCTTAACTCATGGGGGAGCAGTGGTTAGGACGTGCTATTAACCAGAGACCTGAGTTTGATAAGTGAACCGGTCTGCACACCCCCAACCTCCATTTTAGTAGACTTTTCCCTTTCCCCCCACTTTTATTCCTAATTGTGCCGTTTGTGTCACGCAGATAGCAAAGCATCACCCCATGCTGGAGAATGGTCCTCGCATAAAGACGTCATAGAACTACTTTCGAGTTTCCTATTTTCCACAATCGGAGACGTCCCTACGTTCCCATGCATACCGTTATAGAGATGTTTGGCGCATGGCAGCCAAACTAGGATTGTTTATTTTCAGAGCTGGAGTTAGTGCCAAATTATGGGAAATATGACAGAGATTATTGTGAAGTCATTGGTGACTCGGCTAAAAGCATCAACCTGCTACACTTGCGAACCCAGTTTAATCACAGGCTGCCACTACTTGGATTAAAACTCAGGCTCTCAGCGGCGCCGGCTCTGCGGTTTTGACCTCGCGAGTCATCCTGTCACCCCGTTCATTCGTTTTGTTTTTCAACACAACCTTGCACGTGACATTGCCGACGACGTCCCGTGTTTTATGATTGTGCAAGAGCCCAGCGGTGGTGGTGGTGGTGCCACCGGCGCCGGTAAACAGCAGATGTTGCCGCGTGGCCCTGTTTTCCCCGCTCCTGTGCCGGCACGCACACCGCTGACCCGCGCGACACTTGGTGCGACGCGTGACGGCGCTGCCGCAACCGCTTGGCCGTGTTATCGGACACAGCACACGTGGCCTCCTCCCAGCTGACCATCCCGTGCAGCCGTCTGCCACCAACCACCACCACCGTCGTCGGCTGGGGGAGGGGGGGGTCGCCGACACGAGGTTGTTTCGAAGTAGAGGCCGATGTTGAGGGAGAAGAGGGGGGAGGAGAAGGGACTGTAACGTGATAGGGCATGTGGCTGGCGTGCCACGCAGATGGGACTGCCTTCCGTTAAAGGGTACAAGCGTAAGGAGAGCGAGTGGTCAGCAGAATGGGCATGTCTGGGCAAGAGGAGGACGGTGCCCTCGTCAAGTTTTGAGTTTGTTAGTTTGACAGATATTGTATTCATTTCCACGTTTGTTGTTTTAACGAGATGGGTTTTAGTGCACCACTGTAAGCGATAACCCCAGGACAGACACGTTTGTGTACTTGATCTCGAAAATCGTTTTGAAGTCCACGTACGCATCGCTACAGAGCTGTTGAGAAAATGTTGATCGAACTGCGTTGCGACTTCAATGCCAGGTGGGTGATACGAATGCCACTCGGTCCGTCCTGTTTGTTGCGATCGGCCGTTTAAAGCCAATCTCCTCCACCGTGGTACTCTTCTTGACAGTTGTTGTTTAAAGTTCCGTTCGAATTCCGTGACTATATGTTAAACGTGTTTGTTGAGAGTCTGTGCCGTAGAAAATAGGGTGTCCAAAACTACATTGCTCTCAACGGACCACAGTGCCATGTTAACATATCTTCTTAGAATAAAAATTATCATTATATACTGTGCACGTCTAATGAGTGGGAACTCCTGTGCGATAAAGTATAAAAACTAAAATCCGTGTTCTTCCTCCACGTGTCAGTATCTCCCCGTAAAAATAAAACACGTATAGTGCATGACCTTGTGGGACTTCCAGACCAATGTTATCCAGCAGAAATAGTTTAAGTCAGCAAACTCGGGATCGGTGTTAATCATCGGTAAACATGTCCAACATGGGGTGTCTGATACAAAGTTAGATCTTCTAGCTTAATTTGAATCAAATTAATTAAGATACTCTAAATTTGAAGTGGCACAATCAACGTCACGCGGGGATACACACAAGACCTCTGTCTTAATTTGAAATCGGTACTCTGCTATTCTCGTGGGTGGGGCTTACCACATACGAGGTGTGTGCAGCGAGTAACGATTTAATAGTAACGAACAAGATCTGTACACGGAAGGGGTCGGCGTGGCGGGTCACTTTGACTGGCGTGTGGGACATTGAGGAATACGGAACTGTTATCGAGTTGTGCCACATGAAGTTCTGCATGATGTCCGTCGTTTCACTCCGCTTGCTGGGAAGCCTCTTCAGGAACTGAAGGTTAAAAGATCACTCTCTCCCGCACCTTCGATGAGTGCGGTTGGCCACGTACGGTGCGAAAACGTTCAACATACATCGGAGGGCGTGCCGAACGACGCGCGGCACAACCAGATAACAAGAGGATAGCTATAGAGCATGAGCATGAAAACCTAGCTGGCAGTAAAAGCAAGTATGCTTCAGAAGCGGGGGGCTGATGGGGTCACTTACAGTTGGGTCGAGGGGCAGCAACCGCTTGAGCGAGAGATGAGAGCGACTGCCAAGGCATCCTGGAAGCTTCCCATGGTCTTGTCAAGTTACCCCCACAGACACGTCCTCATTAACATCGACTTATGCATGAGCGAGGGATGAGGCTTTGCCAGCTGTGTACGGAATGTTCGCCGCACCCGATCCATTACGGTCAGCATCGTCAGCTTCCTGGGTTCATTACTCTCTTTTTTATTCAATGAAGGGACTTGAAAAAATGATGATTATGATGATGATGATAATAATACTAAATGGTAATCATACTGGACAGCCCTTTGGCAATCTATCTCTGGATACTGTCCAATTTACATACACACACTTCCTATATATTTTCAGAATCTGTAGATGTTTCATGTTTCCCCTAAAACAATACTATTCATGCGACAATACCCTTCTGTAAATACATTCTTCCGATAAACAACTACTACGGTGCCATTTCTATCATACATATTTTGTGATCTGGAGGTAGAATGTCTTGAGAATGTCATCCAGACCTGTGTATTGGGCACCAGCCATCCAGATTGCTTTGGGCCAGGCCTAATGACTGGTGTGGTGGCACGATGATTTGACACCGCCTTGGTTCATTTGGCCACCCCTACTCCATGTGACTGCGGAGCTGCCTAACAAACAAACGTCCCATCCGCATAGTCAAGGACTAGCCTTCCTGACGGAAACACAGTGGAGAGAGATATCTGATTGAACTGGATGAAGTGGCCGATAGTCAAGTGGTTGAGTGCCGGCGGTGGTGGTTCTCATTCATCATCCCTCTGCGCTTTAATTAACTTACGTTAACGTTTGGCACTCGTTAATTTGCACAATCCCTCCCTGAAATTTCGTTAAACTGCTGCCACTGCCGGCGGTCTTGGGCTGTGGTCGTCCTTGCAAAAGATCTGCCCAGCTCAATGGGCCTCACCAACTGACGTTGACGATATTGACCTCTGATAGCTAAACTCAAGTCGAAGAAGAAGATCACGAGTATTTGATACCCAGGGTGGTATCGATAAACCATTTATTTTAGGCTCAGTGGCTCAAAGACCCTGTGTGCCGTCGGCAGGACGCCGGAGATGGAAGGGAGCGGCGTGCACGCGCACTGCTCCGCGTGCGTCAGCCGCCGGTGCAAGACGCGCGCCGCGCCGGGCATCGCGTGCGAGCTGCTGGCGTGCCCAGCCTCCTGCGGCGCCGTCTTCCACGCCTGCAAGAGCCAGGAGCACCGGCTGCTGTGCCCGCAGGTACCCGGCCAACCCCCACCCGTACACACACGCACGCACATGCACACGATTCGGCGATTGGGCGCACTTTTCGGTGTGTTCCGTCCTTTGGCTGTCACTCCATAGTTAGTCTCGACAACCGGGGCCTGTCCCTGTTATAGTGGTGTCATTCTCAACCTTTCTGGTATGGCAGCTCCCAATAAAGACCGCCACAATGCGCCACAAATCACATGTTCAGCCCCATAGTCATTGCACTCTTAGCAAGACATTCATGGCATGTTGAGGTGTATCACTGTGTTTTTTGTTCTCATTCCTGTCACCCTACATGGTTTACCTGTATTCTTGTACAGCGAAATAGAGTTTTCAGGTCCATACAGTGTACAACCGTTTCTATACGGGAAAAAAATGTTGTCTATTTGTGTTTCTTCCTTGTGTTGGGACTTTGTAAGATTAACGCTGAGATTTAGAAGGGCACGGGGTGACCAATAAGGTCTGAATTAGACTGTAATAAGGTAGGCACTGATACGGGGTTGACAGGCTATGTTCGTAAGCCATTTGTTTCACGGTGTGTATTCGTATTTGTTTGTCGCCGTAAGGTGGCGCCAACGTTCCCCGCGCGCATTCAAAAATGTATCCTGCTCGGTATCCATGCCGTAGCTCGCGACCCTCCTCACCGGAAGGCTTTCAAGCCCTCCAATCTCTCTTGGACACAATCTCTATTGCACAGCAATGTCACGGTGTGTGTCGCTGTGTTTTGCACAGCAATAGAGATTGAAGTGTCGTTGGGGACCCATTGGGAGGGGGGCACGGGGACCACTGATCTTAATTGGGGAGGGGGGCGTGATGCCAACATGATTGAGATGCACTTCTTTAGACTAATTGTTATGATCACTACACTTGTTTACCCAAGAAAACCTCACCGAGTCGCATGACTCGTCATCAGGAGGGTACTGCCAATTATTTTTGCCTTTAACATGAACGCCATGGGAGCCTTTAACATTGGGGCACCACGGCGGCGAGCTATTAACTCCCTTGCCTGGTATGCAGGAGTTCGTGGGTTCGATCCCGACCCTGATGGCCGGATATTTGGAGTTTGCGTGTCGCTCTCTCTCTCTCGCAGTGGTCGCGTGTGTTTATCTCCGGGTCCTCCGGTCTTTCCCTCCACATTTAGAATCAGCGTGGTTTGCTATGCTTCCCGCGCACCTCCAATTATCGCGGTTGGCTAACGTACGGTGCGAAAGAAGTCCAACATACATACACGCGTACATCGCCCCAAGGCTGACGGGGGCCGCGAGGTGAATCGGAGGTGCGACTCAAGGGGAGACTGCGTTGGCAGCAGAGTATTTACAAACACGGTAGAAACGCCTCCGCGTGGGATGTGCCTCCACGCAGTGGAACAACCTTCGCAGGCACTGTAAAGTCACGTACGGAAATAAGCGGCACACATGCTCCGCAACGCACGCACACACGCAAGTGTCCCTTGAAAAAATACATTTTTGGTCTCGGTGGACTTGCGCCTGCTCTTAAATTAAGGTCGTATGGATGTGTGCATCTCTGTGCAAGTCTATTAGGCTCCTATGTCGTGCATCATCTGTGTCTCTTTCGGTGAGTATTCGGTTCTCCATGTAATTGTGTGTAGGTTAAGGCCATGGGTCTCCACGTAAGTCTGTGGATCCCGATGTAAGTCTGAGTAAGGTCATTGTGCAGTGATGGATTCGACTGATATAGTTTTTTTTTATTAATGTAGTTTAAGAGCTTGAAAATTCAGGAGTGCCCTCCCGACCTTTGGGAGTTTCTATATCTGCCTCTGGGTCATTGGCTATCAACGTGAGTCTGTGGGTCTTTGTATGTCCACAGGTCACCCTGAGTGTGTTTTAGTCTGTGGGTCTCTGTCTACAGGTCACTGTGAGTGTGTGTTAGTCTGTGAGTCACTCTGAGTGTGTTAGTCTGTGGGTCACTATGTGTACAGGTCACTCTTTGAGTGTGTTAGTCTGTGGATCACTCTGTGAGTGTGTTAGTCTGTGGGTCTCTGTCTACAGGTACTGTGTGTGTGTGTTAGTCTGTGGGTCACTATGTCTACAGGTCACTCTGTGAGTGTGTTAGTCTGTGGGTCACTGTCTACAGGTCACTCTGAGTGTGAGTGTGTTAGTCTGTGGGTCACTGTCTACAGGTCACTGTGTGTGTGTTAGTCTGGGGGTCACTATGTCTACAGGTCACTGTGTGTGTGTGTGTTAGTCTGTGGGTCACTATGTGTACAGGTCACTGTGTGTGTGTGTTAGTCTGTGGGTCACTGTCTACAGGTCACTGTGTGTGTGTTAGTCTGGGGGTCACTATGTCTACAGGTCACTGTGTGTGTGTGTTAGTCTGTGGATCTCTGTCTACAGGTCACTGTGTGTGTGTGTTAGTCTGTGGGTCTGCAAGGAAGTCTTTCCAACACAATTGGTATATTTACAGGTCTTAGAAGTTTTTTTTCAAGTGTAATTCTAACGATATCTCCTGTGAGTCTGTCAGGTCATTGGGAATCTATGTAAGTCTTTGTGTCTGTAAGTGTGGGTAAGGTCCCTGTGTAAGCCTGTGGGGGTCTCGATGTAATTCTACATGAGTCATTTGCTGTTTTGCTATCCTTATTTATACCTCACCCTCCCCCCAGCTGCAAGAGTGACCTGTATCAGCAAAATGACACAGACAACAAATCTAAAGTAAAAGTAAAGCAATGAATTAAATTTAAGGACAGGAACTCATGTACCGCATAAAGCGCGGGTAAACCTGTAATGGGTGCCACGGTCGAGAGATGTTAACTCTCTCGCCCGGTATACATGAGGTCGTGGGTTCGGTCCCGACCCTGACGCCTGCTGTATATTTGAAGTTGCCATGTTTTCCCTGTGGTCCCGTGGATTTTTCTCCGGGTCCTCCGGTTTTTCCCTCCACATTTAGGATAATCATGTGTTTAGAGTATTTAGCTGCTATAAACTTCCACGTGATGATAAGCCACTTTGTTGAGCTATTATTTGTGGCCAGGTCGTTTCTGAATGAGGCCTTACCTGGTAAAATAAAAAAAATAGTTCAGTTTGGTGTTGTCCGTGCATTCACGAACCAACTCGCACTGCTGCCACCTATTGGCCACGCGGTCAGCCGAGCCAGTTTAAAGAATTCACAGATCAACATATGGCCAAATCACCCGGAATGTACCAGAACATATCAGATCTTGGAATCGAAGAAGGATTTTGCCAGGACGGAGCATGGATGGGTGGTGCACATGCATAACACGTCTTATACGCTTTCGGCGGGGCTACATTGTGGGCAGCAGAGGGCAGTGCAGAACACTCCCAGTGTTATCCGTAAAAGGTTTTTGGGTTAGATCGCGTAAATATAAATGCGTAACGAATTGCCATTTATTGTTTACGTGACAAAACTTACTAACTGGCCGTGTCGGGTGATGGCTGGTTTACCGACACATTCATATTTCCGCAATATAACCCAACAACCTCTATTATGGATGATACTGCTTGCGAAAGCCTCCTGCGTTTTAAACTCCCAATGTTGCGCCGTGTGATGCTCCCACGACTATGCTCACCACCTTCACCAATCAGTACGGAATAGCATGGTGAAGTGTGGTCAAATAACCAACACGACTCGCACATCGCGTGGAGGCTCTTGTCCAGCAGAGGGATTGACAAGAGGGTTATACGCGTACAAAGATCCCCTGTATAGTCTTTAACAGATTGTCGGAACAAGGGCTCTTAGCGAGCACCTATTATAAATGGCACGACACGCCAGGGGGTGGGTGGCCAGCACCATGCACGACCGCCTTTGTCTCCCCAGTGCTGATGTTCACACACCGCATCTGGTACTCATTGAAGGCTGAGTCGACTTAAGGGAGGCCCAGGACCGGTTAAGATATTCGTCACCAATGATGGTCGTGAGTGGAAATCGAACTTGGGTCACCGGGTTCGTAGTGCAGTTGCGCCAACCACTACGTCTCCAGCTGCCTACGCGTTCGCACACGCAAAATGTGATCCACCATGCCTCCGGATCACGTGCAAAAAACAACCAGATACGAATATCCAGACTTGTGGATAATTCGGGCACCTTCCTTGGAAGTGTCACTAAAGTGAAGCCCTTAAATTAGCGACCGGGAGCCGAACAAAACACGCACGGCCTCTTACATAAACCACGCGCCGTGCTGTTTGTAAACAACCATTGGCTGCTACAAATCACGGGCGATGACTTTACGTAACATGGAGCCTGGTTCGCATGATTTCGCAAACGTGATGCAACGCGCGACTGCCGGGTGTTATCACGTTTCCTCGAAGAGGGAGGGCAGTCCGGGCAACGTTAAGCAACGGTGAAAGCCAAGTGCTTGTGAGAGACATGTGCCGCATTTCTCCAGATTGTGAGATCACAATCATACTGTTTATTTATCTTGTGAGGAATCCGATGAGCTATAAAGCTCTTTTTCGCAAATGTCCCCCGACCAGTAAGGGGTGCGGGTCAGAAAGTCACAACGACCAACAATGCATAAACACGATAGGAGTGCAAAGTATAGGAAAGGTAAACAAATCACTTGAAAAAATATACATATAAAATAAAATATTTTCTACCAGGTAATGCCCACTGAACCATTATCTTCTTATTCAGAAGCGACATGGCCACAAATGATAGCTCAACGAAGTGTCTTATGTGCAAATTTATAGCAGCCGCGCTGCTCGCTAACAACACTTGCCCCAACAGTCTGTTAAGGCTATACGGGGGTGATCTTTGTCTTTGTGTATAAATTTGAAAAAATGTGTACGCGTGTGTGTGTGTGTGTTGAAGCGTGTATTAAATGTGTGTATGTGTGTGTGAACCTGGCAGGAGCGTGTGCCGTGCCTCAACGCGGCCTACGGCTGTCCCTTGACCCTGGCGCGTCGCTCCGTGGGCTCGCACCTGCGCTCGTGCCCCGCCAGCGTGGTGTGCTGCACCATGGAGTGGAACCGCTGGCCCGTCAGGTAGCCCTCCATTTTTGTGTGCCTTTCTTACAAGCGCAGGGTTTTGGGAACACGAACACTCTCCTGGAGCCCTCCCGTCGCAGCTGGCAGACGCCGACATTGGCATTTAGCTACTGAACATACTGCCATCATTCGCAAGAACTGAACAGGGGGCAGTTTTGATTGATTTGTCAGCGGAGATCAGGCATGCGGTGATTAGAATCCGCCTCCTTGGCAATGCCGTGAATTGTCACAGTTCTCCTTCGCCACCGTGCGGCGCGTGGAAGCAACGCAGGAGGCGTGCGCGCGCGTGTTTACGCGCCGTTGTATTTGTCGCGGCGCAGGGTGGGGGAGAACCAGCGGCGCCCGCACGAGACGCAGGGCGCGACGACGTCCGGCGACTCGACGGAGCAGCTGGACATGGCGCTGGCGCAGAGGGACCAGCGCATGCTGCTCGAGTCGCTCAAGGTGAGCGTGTTGATGAGCGTGGCCGCGCCCTGCTCCGACGCTTCACCGGCCGCGATGTCGCCTGTGCTGTGATCAACTGCCACTTTCTTAACGCGTGACTTTCTCTTCTTCAGCCGGTGTCGCGCCTTGTCATTGGTTCATGCGTCGGGCCACGTAGTGATCTGGCCAGTATTTTGCCGTGTAACCCAACGTAATTGATTTGGCCTGTGTCGGGTGGTGGAGGGTTACACGCGGAAAGGTGCAGCAGCGCTGTGTGTCGCGGCGAGCTTCGGAGTTTTTGAGAAGCCTGCCCGTGGTATTCATCGCGTACCGATGAGATGATTTGCACCCACGTTTCCATAGGGACAGCCAACTTGAGTCGCCATCATGTCTCCCCAAGCTACAGTCGGAAAAAAACTCGAGTCGGTTCAAGTAAAAAAGATAGGTTCCGCGATGCGTGCCAGGTCACGCACCAGCGGCTCTGCCCGTCGGTGCCCTTCGCTAATCACGCCATTTCACACCTCCGATTAGCACGGTTAGCTACGTACGGTGCGAAAGAAGTTCAACGTGCATACGTGCATTGTTTAGGGACTGGGACAGACACCCACTGCAGAGATGGAGACTTGTAATCGGCTCATGTGCAGGAACTTGACGAATTGTTACATAGCAGGACCATGAGGGATGGTGATGGCTCGGAGAGGCTTTCACGCAGCAGTGGATTGATTGATTAGGATGAAATTTTTTTTTAATTATAGTTATAAACTAATGATGATGCTGATGGTGACGGGGTTCAGCGTTCCACAGGATGAGCTGACGACGAGCATCCCTGTTGCCCACGTAGGTGATGACGCTCTTCCCGGAGCTGGCCTCTAAGGTGGCGCTCGTCGGAGACAGCAGCGACGACGACGTCTCGTCCGTGGCTTCGGGCTCCTCCTCCGCGACGCCATCGCTCTTCCTGCCCCCCTCGGCCTCCGTGTCCGTCTCTCTGTCGGATGGCGAGGCGGGCCCCGCCGGCGGGACACTGGAGAAGCTGTACCGCGCCAGCGTCGAGACGACGCGCAGCCTGGCCAAGGCCTACAGCATCCTGGAGAGGGCCACGCGCGAGATGGAGCGCATGGGCCACGCGGCGGAACAGCCGGCGGCCGACGAGGCGCAGGCCATCGCCGGGCCCAGCGGCCTGACGCCGCTTTCGCTCGCCGGCAAAGTTCCGCCGGCGGCGGGGACGGCGTCCGGAATTCCGGCAGCTCGGGACTTGGTGGGGCTCGAATCGAACGGCGCGGTGGGCGCGGCGGTCAACGGCGGTTCGGACGGGATAAACGGCGAGGGGGCGTCATCGCGGCGTTCTCGGAGAGGCGTTCCCGTGGTGGGTGGCGGCGACGGTGGTGAGGGTGGGGGGGCGCCGGCCGTTGTTCCCGCGCGCCGAGAAGGAGCGGAGGAGGCGCCGGCAGCAGCGGCGGCGTCTGCACGGGCGGCGCCCGACCGGCGGGATTGCGCCGTGCCGCGTTCGCGAGCGCCCCTCAGCGTGGCGCGCTCCGAGGAGTCGCTCAGCAGCTGCGACTCGTACGTGGACGCGGTGGACGCGGTGGACGCGGTGGACGGGGCGGGCGCGGCGAACGCGGCGGGCGACACGTTTTTAGGCGTGGCGAATTCGGTGGACTTGGTGAACGTGGTGGACGTGGCCGACGTGGCGGACATAATAGACTTCATGGACACGGAGGACGCAACGGAGGCGTGCGACCCGGCAAATGGGGCCTGGGCCGACGTCGACACAGCCTGCACGAACGGGAAATCCGGGTCGCGCCGTTCGGTTCACAACGGCCTCGTCGGATTCGCGCGCGCGAACGGGCCGACGCGAAGCGCCGCCTGGGACGGGAGCGCCGATGCGGCCAGTTCCGCTTCGGCGGCGGCATCGGCCGCGGCTTCCTTGCTGGGCGCCGCCTGCAGCGAGCTGCTCGAGAGAGTGGAGAGCCTCGAGCCGCGGGCCGAAGCGCCGGTGTCGTCGCGCCGCTGGGAGGGCGAGGACTCGGGCGAGCCGGGTGCCCTCGGGGCCTGCGTGAGCCGGCGGCAGCGCGAGGCGGCGCGGCTGCGTCTCCAGCTGCACGGGAGGAGACCGGCGTGGCGCGGCGACGCGGAGTCGCCGGCGCGCGCGCGAGTTCGCGACGGCGAGCTTGGCGCCGCCTACGCCAACGGCCACGCGGCCGGCCCCGGCAATCGGACTGCGCCGTCTAACGGCGAGCCCGTCGACGGCCTCCACCAGCTGGGGGCACCGCCGAACGCGCCGGTTGCAGGTGGAGGAGATGCGGCGGCGGCGGCGGCGGCGGCGGTGGTGGAGCAGTTCCCGCCCACGTGGGAGCGTGCCGTATTCGCCCAGTGGCGGCCACGCGTCTTCAGCGAGACGGACGGGTCCGGAGTTTACGCGGCTCACACCGGAGAGCCGAGGCCGTTCCGGCCGCCCGACTCGTTCCGCCGGTGCTACCTCGGCGACCTGTACCGCTGGAAGCGGCGCATGCAGGACAAGTCGGTGGACACGGGCGACCTGGCGAGGGAGCGGCGGGGCGGCGATGACGGCGGCGTCGGGGAGGTGGGTCCGGGCATCGACCTAGTGACAGCCGCCCTCCTCTTCTGCCTGGACGGGGAGTCGCCATGCGGGCGCGGCGTGTCGGACCGGCGCGTCTCGCCCGACGGGGCCCGCACCGACACCGGCACGCAGACCTTCAGCCTCCCGTCGGCCGTGCTGGCCACGCGCACCATGGTGGGCGAGATGGCCTCGGCGCCGGCCTGCGACCACGCCAGCCCACAGCTCTCCAACCCGAGCCCCTTCCCGCGGCTGGGCCTGGACCTGGTGCTGGAGTGCGTGACGCGCTACCAGGCCAAGCCGCGCTCCATGTTCACCTTCGTGTGCGGCCAGCTGTTCCGGCGCGACGAGTTCCCGCACCACTTCAAGAACGTCCACGGCGACATCCACGCGGGCCTCAACGGCTGGCTGGAGCAGCGGTGCCCGCTGGCGCACTACGGCTGCCCCTACACGCAGCAACGGCTCTGCCCGTCGGCGCCCGGCGCCAAGGTGGTGCACAGCACGCGGCTCGGCTCGTTCGGCGTCCTTCCCTTTGTGCCGCCCGAGCACCGCGACTACGGACGGTCGGCGGCGCCGTCGCCGATCGCGTCGTCGTCCGACGACGACGACGACAGGGCTCGCCCCGCGCCGGCGCTGGGCGACTCGGGGGAGCGCGACCGGCTGAGCCGGCTGCCCCTGGAGGTGCTGCAGCAGGTGGCGCGGCGGCTGGACGGGTACAGCCTGTGCCAGCTGTCGCTGGTATCGCGCCTTCTGCGGGACGTCTGCAGCGGCGTGCTGCCCGAGAAGGGGATGGTGACGCTGGTGTGGGAGCGCCGGCGCAGGCTCACCGGCGCCGGCGGCGGCGGCGGCGGTAGTTCTGCGTGGCGGGTCAAGCACAAGGTTCGTTGGTTGTTCGCTCGCTCGGCTTGTTCCTTTTGTGGCCCCGGGGGCTCGACCGCCATCCTCACCCGCTGTCCCACGGTGCTCGCCAAACGGTGCCTGACGGTGGTCGGAGATAGAGGGGGGCGGAAAGTAGCGGGGTTTTTTTTATTAAATAAAAAACGTCGTGCGCAATTCCGCCGATGCGCGAGCATTCTCGTTCTCACAGTTTGGTTGTTTTTCCTTTCCGGCTGCAAGGAATCTGAACGTCATCGGCGACGGGGCGCGTTCGATTACAACTTGGCTTTGAAATGAATCCGTTTGTGCGGCTCCGACGTGACGGATTTTTTTGGGATAACAAAAAAACAAAGACCGAACTGGACACGGAAAATAAAGCACGAAATAACAACGCCGTGTTTGGTTTTGAAACGAACGGGAATACGATTTGTGTTACAACCCGAGACTGCCTCGCCGAGATGGGGTTCAGCGGGGAGTCACTGCGCGCACCGCTTGATAAACACCGGTCCCCGCCGTGTCCCGTGACGGGACATCTCGTGGGCTGGCGTTCCTGTAATTGGAGGAGGGAACGACAGGGTCGGCAGTGCCGGCCAGCGTTCCTGCCGAGCTGTTTACATCTGCGTTTTTTTTTCACGCGCTCTAAGAGAGCGTGGTGAAAGGAGGGCTGCAGGTGTGTGACGCAGTTTGTGGGTCAGTCGGGGTCCAGCGCTCGAGTAAGATTGTAAAGGGGGGTGGCACTGGGGCGAGTCGAGGTGTGAGGAGAGTGGTCAGGACAGATGAAGCTCAAAGAGCCAACTGTTTTGTTCCTGCACAGAGCACGCAGTTTGTTTTCCTGTGCAGTGTTGGAACTGTGATATCAGGCACCCCGGCGGAATTTCTGTATCAGGCCGGACTGCTGATAAGTCTCAGAGAAGTCATGTCTGGTCCAGAATTTGCCTGCTTAAACACATTTCGGTGGAAAGGATTGGTCCTTAAGATCGATAGGGTGATGGACAAGAAATGTTACCGCTGCATTGAGAAACAGGCTTTTGTCTCCGTTTAATGACTTACATATTCATTAACGGCCCTGTAAATCTGCGAAGCGTCAAAAGTTTCGTTGTCTTGGTGGCGTTGACCCTCCCGTCCGTGTTTATAACAACTTATTTATTAAACAGAGCCACGCTCGCAGGAATATTCTGCTCCGGCGTGGGGCCGGCACATTTCTCAGGTGACGCTCATTACCAATTAACGAGCGGCAGATTATCCCCTCGTTACGTTTCATCACCGTCGCCTCCCTCCGCGTGATTAATTAATTGCCCTCCGCAGTTCGTCTGTGGTGGTGAGGACTCTTGTGGATGATAATTGTCGCGATTAGTCATGTACCGGGCTGACTTTTCTCACTGAATATTTTCGTTCAGGTTGTTGGTAAGCCTCCATTAGGAGGCACGTGACCAGTTGTAGCCACAGCCACGTAGCAACATGTATACTGGATGTGGTGTGCCGGGCGAAGAAATATTTTCCAGATCACGGACCTGGGCAGACCTGACTTATATTGAGTCTTACGCTCCTGATATAGCAACCATGCATAGATTTTTTTTACCTTTTATGAAATGGTAAAAATATTGATATGATAATGTTATGTTATATCATAGCATGCCGGACAAACCGATGAATATATTACTTTCCCCATACTCAATATTATCCTAATTGCGCTGTCGGTATCAAGGTTTGAGACAAAGAATCCCTTCGGAGAGCTCGCACAACTTACATTTTTTGGCATACGATCCACCAAATGGGATATTACAGAGCTAGCACCGAGTCCGTGGGCCTCCCTATCGTGAGTCTGTGGTACGTCGTAAGTATATCGGGGCGGGCGCGTGGATTTTAACTCGGGCCCTCAGTGGTTGCATGCCGCCCCGGCGCTCGTAACTTATCTAGTACCCAGCTTCCTCTCGAAAACAATGTTTCTGAGAGTCCACCGCTGTGGGCAGTGTGGAAAAATTGCCCTCTCTTTGATCACTTGGGAACCCTCATCAGCCTCTGCTCATGTGCTGGCTCGTTCCCCGTGCTGAAAGCTGCGATGGCTGCGGGTCCTAGCGGTGGTTTTTCATGCTCCGGTTACGGCGCTCACATCTCGCCGCGACTGCCCGTCATCATAATCGTCATCATAATCGTCATCATAATCGTCATCATAATCGTCATCACCACCGTCATAAAATAATATCGAGTTTTTAAATCGTAGTCCCATTTATGCAACCGCATCAGGCAGCGCTGTCCGCAAACACGGAGGCGCGTGTGTATACATTCAGATCTGGCAGCCAATTAATGGGGGAAGAAACCGAACGGACCCAGGGACAACCCGCACGTGCGAGAGAGACTAACACTCTATTCCATGCAGTTGGGACAGAGAAGGATTAGTCCACACTTTGCTATACCCCTATCTCCTGGCGAGCCAGGGCTTGGCTGCTCCACGGGGCCCACGGGGAAGGGTGCCTCCACAGTGCTGGATCACAGGCCACGCGCGAAACCACCACCGCTCGGCCATGTGTTGTTCATGACGTGCAAACAACGACAACAACAACACCAGCAGCCTGTGTTATTTTAGTTCCACAATCATGAATGTTCCAGTTCTTATTCTGTTCTGTGTGCAACAGTTTAGTTCATCGCTGCACTCAAAATGCATTTGTCATATCGTCGGTATCGGCTATGCCCAATCCACTGCTGGATGAAGGCCTTCTGGAGTTCACAGGGTTCGATTTAATCTCCTCCACGTGGTTGTTTAAGCAACGCTGCAAGTTTCTTAAATCCCCCCCCCCACCGCCAGCCGATCATTGCAGGTCACGCGCAGTGGGATGGAGTGTCGGTTACGCCCCACGTCTTCCAGTAAATCTGACCAGCGTGGAAGAGTCGACCAAAACCAAAATAAAACGAAACTTTTTATTTTACCAGGTAAGGCCCGCTGAGCTGCTGTGTAGCTCTTTTTCAGAAGGGACCTGGCCACAAATTATAGCCCAACGACGTGGCTTATCATCGTGTGGAAATTGATCGTTGCCAAATACTCTCAAGGCACGTTTCTAAATGTGGAGGGGGAAATCGGAGGAACCGGAGAAACATCCACGCGACCACGGGGAGAGAGAGATACACGCAGACTCCAATTATACAGCAGGCGTCAGGGTCGGGATCGAACCCACGACCTCCTGTATACCAGGCGAGGTAGTTAACAACTCGCCACCGTGACACCCCACCCTCGACGGGGCTCTCTAGGGCTCCCTCCGATGGAGGCTCTTCCGACAGCAGTGGGCATGAGCAAAGCAATTGCAGATCTGCGCCTTGACCTTTGGTGGCTTCCACAAACACGCTACCGTGGGTTTTTTTGGTTTTTGGTGGAACAGCACAGACGCCAACACCGGGGCAGCCAGACGCTCCTGGAAGCGCTTGCAGTGCCTCCCGCGTCACGTCAGATTACTGCCGTCTCAAATAAAACCCCGGCAGAAGCTCGTCTTGGATTAAGCCCTAGCTGTGGCTGGTTTTTACGCCCGTGTATGCCGCGGTGTGGTCTGACTGCCCCCGAGGGTCTGGTCGGATGGATTACCCGCCTCGTTTGGCAGCGTAGTTTGTCACGAAGCGAGGTGTCTGTGCACCACCGCCCACCACACAGGATTCGTTCGTATTCTTAGTTCTTTCGGTAAAGTCACATTGAAGGGAAACAATAAAATATATATTAAACAATAAAAATTCTCACGACGTTTCGACCATAACACAAACGGTCGTCATCAGGTGTGTCGGCTTGCAAACCGACACACCTGACTTTACCGAAAGAACTAAGAATATGAATTACTGCAGTCGCGAAAGCTTTAAATCAAAATTTAGGATTCGTTCGCTCTGGAAAGAGAGAGAGGCTTCCGCTCGGAGGCGCGAGGAACCGCAGGCAGAGCGGGAACGGCAGCAGCCGGGTGGTGTGCCGGCACCAATTCAACCCCCCACGCCCCAAGCTCTGCAGTCCTCTATATATTAAGTTGTTATCGGCCAATCAATGAGCGGAAAGAAACTGGAGCAGCTGGAAAAACCCCAGGCATACGAGGCGGCAGCAATTTATCCCATGTAGATGTAACGGATGGAGATTCGTCTGCACGTGGTGTAATGCCATCTTGCAAGGCAGGGTCTGGTGACCTCAATGTCTAAGGTAGGTAGCGAGTATCACAACGTTGGTGTGATCCACCAAGCCTCCGTTCCAGAAGTGCTGCATTTACACCACCACTGCCCGGCTAAGCAAACACAAAAAAAAACTAAAACAAAGATTCCCCCCATAGCCTTAAGAGACTGTTGGGGTAAGTGCTGTTAGCGAGTAGCAGCATCTATGAAGGTCGGCACGGCACACGAGGGGGGTGGGTGGCCAACACCACGCCCGGCTGCCTTTGTCTCCCCAGTGGCGATATTTACACACCGCACCAGGTACTCATTTCAGGCTGAGTTGACCTAGGGAAGGCCCACGACCAGTTCAGATAATAGTCACTGGTGTTGACCGTGAGCAGGAATCGAACTCGCGTGTACCGGGTTCGTGGCGCAGCGCGCTAACCGCTACAATACCACTCCCCGCTAATCAAACACACACACACACCTACACAAAACTCCTGTGTGTTTATATGATAACGAATTATCACAATATCAGATGTTGCTTTCATATTAGGCAGTTGGCACTCTTCCAAACCGAGAACTGCTTTGAAACGTCGCGGTGCGGGCGTGCATGCGTGCGCGCGCCTAGCCGCGCGAATAGAGGGCAACACATTCTTAGCGCGCGCGTGGCATCGCCCGAACGCGGAGAAACGCGCATGCCGTTGCTATTACCGTTTTTATTTGTATTTGTTTCCATTGTGATCCATCGTGCTCAGCTATGAGCGGTATGGGATCGTGTTGAAGGCACAGTCACGAGTTCAGAAACCCCCCCCCCCCCCCCACCATCCGCATGAGCGTTCCCACATGGATTCGATATTCCCAAGTGGAGGTGGGCATTCCTACTTCAAAACAACTTTTCCCGTTATGCATTCAGCATTCCCGAGTGAGATTGCATTCCTGTGCGGGTCGGGTATTTCCACTTAGATCAAAATTCCCACTTAGATCGTCATTGTGTCCATGTGGTGTCACTTGTTCCGATGTGGATTCAGCATTTCCCTTTTGGTTTGGAATTTCTTACTGGAGGTCGGTGTTTGGGTTTTGAGTGTTCCTGCGTCAGGCCAGCGTCTCTATGTGGTTTCATCATTCATCATCGCCTCCGATTAGCACGGTTAGCTACGTACGGGTGCAGAAGAAGTTCAGTAAACATGCAGCATCATTGGCCATGCTTTATCGACTGCTGAACGAAGGCCTCCCCGAGACTCCGCCGTCTCTTGCGGTCATGCGCGCTGCAACAGCGACCCGTCTGGCTCCCATCGCCACGCTAGACGTCCTCTCTGGGCTGGCGTGGTTCCTCCTTCGCCTGCCACTCCGTCGTCGGTCTCGACCGCCGACTATTCATCCCTTTCCCATCGAGCCACAATGTGTTGCCGCCCAATCCCGACGGCCGGTTGGGTTCATCGTCCACACGTGTGATCCAACGCTCCTGTGCGGGTTCGGCGATCTTTAGCCCCGTCATCAATTCCTGACCCGCCGTTGCCCATTGGCGTTCGGCAGGGCCGCGCTTTGATTGGTTGCGGGGGGACTGTTGCTGTACGGTCGAACTCAGCCACGCGCCGTCACTGTGCCAGGCCATAGCTCGCCATGCCTGCGGGTGGGAGAGAGTGGGGGGAAAGTGGTGCGTGGGGTGGGGGGGGGAGGGAGCTTGTGTGCCGTTCCTAGAAGTGACGAGAATAGCAGCGGGAATGAGTGGCGCGCATCTCGCTGGCCACAAGAATTCCACGGCTCCCAAAAACAGATGCCGCCCTTGCCGGCCAGGAGGTATACGGCCCGGTAGCCGGCGCGCGGCGTTAACGAGGGGGCGTCAAAAACGCACGCTGCGCTACGCCGCGAGCCTGGCGAACCAAGTTTGATTCCCGTCCGCGGCAAGCGTCGGTGGCGGGTGATGTCTGAGCCGGTAGCCGAGGCCTCTTCCCCCTTTTGATCGTCCTCCGCTGGCCAGCATGGTGAAGTACGGTCAAGCAAATCCCCATGACCGACACAGTGTAGGGAGGCCTTCATCCAGCGGTGGATTGACGAGCGCCAAAAAGGATGAACGCGTAAAATGTGACCCACGTCCAAGTCCTCCCTGAACGAGCGCTCGCTTGCCTTCTGCGTTTTCTCCGGGTTCTCCGGTTTCTTCCCGCACGAAGCCAAAGCACCCATTAATGGAATTAGCCAAACTTCCCAATGTGTAGCAGGGGGGACCGTTCTGGGTAAATAAGCGGCATCGGTTGTTATTTTTGGAAATTCTATTTACAGTTCTGAGTCGGGTATTGTTTTTTTAACAAAGGTGGAGAATGAAATTAATTTCATCTCAAAATTAGAACTCGCTTGTCGCTTACGTAAAATGTCGTGCTTACAACTTGCGCAAACAGGGTGCCATAGATTCTGCTGCACTTCGTGGAAGTGGGGCGGGAGAGGCAAGGTAGGGCAGTGCAGCGTTGTGCCACCTGAGGACACGTCCTGAGCTGTCCCACACGAAATGTGAGGCTTCATTCGTTGATGCGAACAGAGGACTAATCCCACACACCCGTGTCCCTCGCCCAGCCAAGCGGTGGTGATGTGAAGTTGTGTTTTGTGTTTTGGGAGTGCCCATGTTTAATGCACCTCTGTCACGCGAACTCCGGATTTTGGGCTAACCGTCGAACAAAGACGGTCACCGCATCGCGTGCTTTCAGATGCTCTTCTGCGGCCGTCTGGAACGCTCTTCCTTCCATTATTACGAAGCCACTGGAGCGATGCACTTTTAAATCTAGATGCTTTTTGTGTTTATTTTGTTGTCCTTCCACCGCACCTCCAATTAGCATGGTTGGCTACGTACGGTGCGGCAGAAGTTCACGCATATATATGTCTTATTTTAAAACGATTTATGGTGCTCTTGCAAAGTCAAAGTGATTTCGTCTTCAAATCAACATTATTAGGGCAGTGCTCATCTCCCGTTTGCAGTGCTGCAGAGCCAGAGGTGGAAATGTTTCTTTATTCCTATGGCAGGGGTGCGTTTATCCATAGGAAAAGCACCATTCACTTCCCCAGTGAGTGGTCCTCATTTTAGTCGACCCCAGAGGGATGATGGTTTGAGTCAACACCCCCCCCCCGCCCCCCCAACAGGGATATGAACTCGCAACCTTCCGACTGCGAGCCGCTCGCTCTACCGCCGAGCCGCTGTTAATGGGACACCACGGTGGCGAGATGTTAACTACCTCGTCTGGTATACAGGAGGTCGTGCGTTCGATCCCGACCCTGATGCCTGTGTATTCGGAGTTTGCGTGTCTCTCTATCCCCGTGGTCTCCAGGTTCTCTCCAGGTTCTCTCCAGGTTCTCTCCGCATTTAGAAACGAGCGTTTTAGAGTATTTGGCTGCTATCAATTTCCACGTGATAAGCCACTCCGTTGAGCTGTCATTTGTGGCCAGGTCGCATCTGAAAAAGCGCTATGCAGCTCAGTGGGCCTTAGCTGGTAAAAATAATACAAATAGTAGTACAGTAAATAGATCTGTCGAGCACCACTGAACGGGGGCACCACATCGGTTAAGTTTTTACTAATTCGGTTGCGGATATAGCGGCCTCTAGCGGTCAGAGAGGGTCACGTGAACACGTTGCGTTCAACGCGCGCCAATGGAAACGTTGCCGATTGTCGCGCGCGGTGCGGTTCTCCGCATGCCGTGAGCTTTAAATGGAAACGAAAGTGATCGGCGGCGATGAATTTACGTGTCGTCGTGCCGCGGTGTCCCAAGTCACTCTCGGCTTCTCGCCTGGTTGAACGAACACAAACAACGTGTGGGTACGCTTCTCAAAGCGAGCGTT